CCCCTCCTCCCCCACCCACTTCTCCCTCCCCTCTTCCTTCTCCTGCTATCCTTTCTCCCTGCTCCTCCTCTTCCCCTCTCCCTCCCTCTCCCCCTTTCCTCCTCGGTGCCCGGCAGGGTCTGAGAACCTACCACTCATGCTCCCTGCCCTCCCCGCACAACTCCACTGGGGAGCCCCAAGCCCAGCTTGCTGTTCCAGGTGCCCCCTTCCTCCTGTTGAAATCCCTCCAGGCGGACTCTCATCCTGGCTGCAGCTCTCCCCTATAGCTATGCCCCTCTGTGCTTGGCACCTCCCAGGGAGCCCTGTTCTTGGACCTGTGTTGTGCCTTGGAACAGCGGGAAGGCCCTGCAGGCCGGATTCTGTCAGGACCAGCAGAGCCTGGGCGGCGGGGACCTTGGGGCTCCGGACCTCAGGGCATCTGCATGAGAGGTCTCTGCTGTGGCCCAGCTCGGCCTGCAGGCGCCTGAGACGGATCCGTGGACAAGGCTGGGCTGGGGAAGTGCTCCGGAAACCGGGAAAGGAGTTGGGAGGCAGGCGGGGAGGGAGGATGGGCGGGGCCCCATCTCCCCAGTCCTGTGGGGGCGGCCTCTGCCTGCCATGGGCACTCTGCAGGGGAGGCAAGGCCCAGCGTTTCCTCACCTGGATGCAACTGTGGGCTCTCACTCTGCTCAGTCACTGGCCGAGGACCCTCCCAGGAAGATGTGCCACCTCCCAGGAGCTCCTGGCTCTCTGCTCCTGGTGACAAAGTGGCTCTGGTGGCCTCAGGGCTGTCTACTCAAGAGCTGCAGGACCAGCTGCTGGAGGTGACCACACCGCAGTGGGAGCCCTCTGAGGGACACGTGCACGCACAGCACCTAAAGGGGTTCGGCCCGGGGAATGTCTTTCCATTTTCACTTCAGACAACTCTGTTTGGGTGGGTGGTTTTTCAAGTTGTGTTACTTTTGAAGGAAAGGAAGGAAGGGAGGGAGGCAGAAAAGCCGTGACAACCAGCACAGGGGGCTCGCTGGGTTCCAGGCAGTGGAAGAGCCCAGACCCAGAATCTGCTGCACCATCTTCCTTTGGCTATAACTTTTTATACCAATCTTGGTAACATTTACGGACATATTTAGGGGTGTAGTTAGTGGAGGTGCAAGTAGTGGTGGTCAGGAGCCCGCACTCAAGTTCAGCCTCCTTCTGAGGCTGGAGGCATGTGCAGGGCTCCCTCCGCGAGGACCCTGGCACTGCGCCCCGGCCACACGCGAGCCCTGCTGGACGGACAGTGGCTGGGTCGCAGGGGACGGACTCTTGGATGCCTGCACTGCCCGCTTTCTAACCTTCCTGTCTGCAGGTGCAGCCAGCACCCCAGCTGCCTGTGGACGGCGGCTCCACACAGGCCACTGGCCCCTGGTCTCTGAGTGGCCCACTCCGGCCCTTGGCCTGCGTTTCCGTCAGGATTCCTGTCTCCTTTATTTGATGTGTGGGAGTTCTAAATAGTAAGCCTTGCCAATTTTAAAGGCTGCAAACACCTTCTCTTAATCTACTGTTGCCATTATTCATGCATTATTCCTTATTTTTGTTCTATGTAAAATTTTATGTAAACAAACCCATCAAAATCTTGTCTTACAGTTGTGCTTGTGGAGTTTTTTTCGTTTGTTTTTTTTTCGAGATAAGAGTCTTGCTCTGTTGCCCAGGCTGGAGTGCAGTGGCACAATCTCGGCTCACTGCAACCTCCACCTCCTGGGTTCAAGCAATTCTCTTGCATCAGCCTCGAGTAGCTGGGATTACAGGCGCCTGCCACCACACCTGGCTAATTTTTTGTATTTTTAGCAGAGACGGGGTTTCACCATGTTGGCCAGGCTGGTCTTGAACTCCTGACCTTGTGATCTGCCCACCTTGGCCTCCCAAAGTGCTGGGATTACAGGCGTGAGCCACGGCACCTGGCCTTGGGGAGTTTTAAGCTCTTCTCCACTGCTAGCTCACATACCCACCTTTCCACATTCTTTTTTCTTTTTTTTTGGGTGTGAGACAGGGTCTCACTCTGTTGCCCAGGCTGGAGTGCTAGTGGCGAGATCTCGGCTCACTGCAAACTCTCCCTCCCAGGTTCAAGCGATTCTGCCACCTTAGCCTTTCGAGTAGCTGGGACTACAGGTGGCTGCCACCACGCCCGGCTAAGTTTTGTGTTTTTTTAAAGTAGAGACAGGTTTTCACCATGTTATCCAGGCTGGTCTTGAACTCCTGAGGTCAAGCAATCCACCCGCCTTGACCTCCAAAAGTGCTACGATTACAGGCACGAGCCACCACGCCCAGCCTCCCATATTATTTTCTACTAATTTTCTATTTTACCACTGCATAGGAATCACCAATCACTCTGGAGCCCACCCTGCGTGTGATGCCAGGGAGGGGCAGTGTTCATTTTTCCACATAGCACACTTTGCCAACACCACGAGGACACTGTCCACCCCTCCCAAACCCCGGGACACTTTTCCCAGTCCCCGAGTCCCCTGGGTCCCTGCTGAGGTATCCCTGTCTTGACACTTTTCCCAGCCCCCGAGTCCCCGGCCCCGCTGAGGTTTTCCCAGTCCCCGAGTCCCCAAGTCCCCTGGGTCCCTGTCTTGATGCTGTTAGGCCACGCCTCCCCCACACTCTCACTGTGGGTTTGCAGCACTCAGGATCTGGTAGGAAAGCGTCTCTCTCAGCTCTTTTTCAAAATGAATTGAACCACAGTGTTGACTTTTTTCTTCCATATCAATTTTAGAATTTGTCGGGCGCAGTGGCTCACACCTATAATCCCAGCTCTTAGGGAGGCAGAGATGGAAGGATAGCTTGAACTTAGGAGTTTGAGACTTGCCTGGGCAATACAGCAAGACCCTGGTCGCCAAAAAAAGAAAAAGAAAAAGCTGGGCGCAGTGGTTCACGCCTGTAATCCCAGCACTCTGGGAGGTAGAAGTGGGTGGATCACGACGTCAAGGGATTGAGACCATCCTGGCCAACATGGCGAAACCCTGTCTCTACTAAAAATACAAAAATTAGCTGGGCATAGTGGCGCGTGCCTGTAGTCCCAGCTACTCTGGAGACTGAGGCAGGAGAATCGCTTGAGCCCGGGAGGCGGAGTTTGCAGTGAGCATAGATTGCGCCACTGCACTCCAGCCTGGCGACAGAGCAAGACTCTGTCTCAGAAAAAAAAAAAAAAAAAGGAAAAAAAAGTAAATTTTAGAATTTAATGTGTCTCAAAAAATCAAATGGCAGCTGGGCGCGGTGGCTCACCCCTGTAATTCCAGCATTTTGGGAGGCCGAGGGCAGATCACCTGAGGTCAGGAGTTTGGGACCAGCCTGGCCAACATGGCAAAACCCCATCTCCACTAAATATACAAAAATCAACCGGGTGTGGTGGCGGGTGCCTGTAATCCCAGCTACTAGGGAGGGTGAGGCAGGAGAATCACTTGAACCCGGGAGGTGGAGGTTGCAGTGAACTGAAATTGTGCCATTGCACTCCAGCCTGGGTGACAGAGTGAGACTCCTTAAAAAAAAAAAAAAAAAAAGGCATTTTGATTAGGATTGTGCTGGATTTAGCATACCTTTTCTCACTGCGTCCACATTTTTTGTATGTTTGTAAAAATGTCTGTTAAAGAACAGATGGCTGGGTATTAATTTGGGGCCTTTTAAAATTTTTTATTTTTTTTGAGACAGGGTCTCCGTCTGTCACCCAGGCTGGAGTGGGTACAATCGTGGCTCACTACAGCCTCCACCACACTGGACAGTACGGTTCTAGGGTCCTGGTTCCTCAAGTAGACGGTTCTAGAGTCTGGAGTCCTGGAGGCAGAAGGGACCTTGGTGACCACATGATGTGGCCCTCATTCTGTGGGAGGAGAAATCTGAGACCCTGGGAGGTGACGATGCCCTGGTAGCATTAAATCCAGACCTCGGGTGTCTGTCAATGTACATTTTATATTAAAAAAGCCAAAATAACAATGGGGTGAGAACAGGAGGCCACTACACAAGTGGCCAAGGGTTCAGATCCTTGGAGGCCCACTTTGGAGAAGCTCAGTGGGGCTGGCATCCTGGCAGCAGCACAGCACCGCCGGGACACGGGACGCCCTCCCCACACCTGAGCTTTCACTCACAGGCAAGGGCTGTGGTGAGAACTGACAGGCACACGTGAAAGCAGTCAGCCCTGCCCGGCACTCTTTAAAGGAGAGCTCTAAGGAACACAAGCACACAGGACTGAGTTAGCTTTTACCCATGTTTTTTAACTTACCTAATTTTTAAAAAATTAGCATTGTCTGGTTTAAAAGACTAAAAAACCTCAGTTGTTGCAGGTCAGGACTGCCTGAACCCTGCACACCAGGACTAGGGCCGGCTGGGCCAGCCACTGAATGCCACTCGGACAGCACGTGAATACCTGTAAAGCACTCTCAGGCCCTGTTTCACACAACCCAGGTGGGGACCATGACCGCCTTCTGAGAGAAGGAAACAGAAAGGAATTTCTAGTGAATGAACGCAACGTGTCTTATGTGCTCTCTGTGGCTACAATAACTGTCCACAATCACCCAGGAGGACCGTGTGGCAAGGTTTAATTGCAATGGCATCTGAAAATGGCGCGTGGCATCGCGCGTCAGCTATCCTCAGTGCCTTTATTGCCATTGGGTTTTTGACTGTTGATATAGTGACGACCTCAGGAGCAACAGGTGGGTTAAAAAACCGTGGCTGGGCAGTTCTTCCGAGGACAGGGACCATAGGAGGAGCAAGGAGGACTCAGAACCTGACGAACGTGGCGTCAATCTGCCGCACGGAGGGGAGGGCGAGCATGACCTTTCGCCGGTACTGGGGGTCTTTCTGCAGGGGGTTCCCCTCCAAGTACACCGTCTCCAGGCTCCTGGCTCCCTTCAGCTCGTCGAGGTCGCTCCAGCTCTCAAGGAGATTGTCGTTCATCTGGGGACACACACAGGAGAAAAGCCTTCAGAACCAAACAGCCCAGCCCTCACAGCCCACAGCCCTCAACTCTGGTTGGGGGTCACTAGCCACCCTCCTCCTTCCTACTCAGAAGATGGCGAGCAGGTGTGGGTCTTCCCTGGCACCTCACGGGACCTTCCATGGCCTCTTGGTGCATCCCGGCCACCTTCAGCTACATCCCAAGTGCAAGTTACCTGTCCATACCCAACCCTGGGCCAGTCACTATGACAGCCAAGCCCACATTCAGGTCAGCAGAGGAAAGACAGAGCAGTCCTGGCCCCCTGCCTGCTACACTCGTCCATCGGCAAGTGTCAAAGCAAGGCGGGCTGCACTTTCTACAAACCAGTTCTCAGCCATCGTTCCCAAGGCTGCACTCGGCACTGTCACTGTGACACAGCAGACAGAGGCCACTCTACTTAAAACTCTCAACTCTTCTGTAAATTACCTCTATGGCTCTCTCCATAAGGAAGTCCCAGCTGCTGCTGTCACCCAATACCATGTGCAGGGACCCAAATCGTGCGCAGGTGGGATTCAGAGGTTGAGTTGCAGGCTCAGAGCAAGCTACATTTTACCGTCTTGGCCCTGCCATGCCCAGTTGGAGGGACCTGCCTTTGGCAGGAAGAGTTCTCTTGCATGTCTTTTTTTTTTTTTGAGACAGAGTCTTGCTCTGCCGCCCAGGCTGGAGTGCAGTGGCGCCATCTCCAGAACAAGGGGAGCCAGTTCAGCTTCAAGGCTTGTTGGTTTGACCCTCACTTTCAATCACCCTGTGTGTAGAAATCACCTCTTCAGAGCTGCCCGGCCTCGTGGCCTGCCAGGCAAACCACGGTGGCAAGAGGAGGGGCACTACTCCTGAAGAGGCAGCTGGACTTGTTGTGAACCTACAACGGGCAGAGCCAGGGGCACTCATTATAGGGTGACAGACTTTGACTCCTTTTACAGAGAAGTTAGGATGGGAACTGTCCGTGTGGAATGGAACGCAAGCAGGGGTGTTCTACTCTGGGGCCCACGTTGCCCTGCCCACAGCTTGGTCCGACTGGGGGGCCCCTGCTCTGCACAGCTCCCCTTCTCTCCAGGACCCTGTCTGCACACTCTAGCTGCCAGATGCTGAGCTCTGCTTCTTCCACTCAGAAGCACTGTGTTCTGCTTGGGAAGCGTCCCAGGTAAGGAGTGGGGCGATCACGGGGCTCCCGCTGGAACTCCCTCCTCAGAGCCTGCAGGCGCGTGCTGCCCGCTGTCCACTGCCTGAATAGAGTTGTTTCCTAGTTTTCTATCTGTCTGTGGCAGGAGGGCTAGTTTGGCACCAGGTCCACTGTCATAGCCAGGCTGTCTTTAGTAACTTACCGTGTGTTAGGGGCCTCCCAGAGAGGAATATAATGTGCATCTCACAGGTTCGCCTGTTTGAGGAACCCTATTTTCTTTTTTTTTGAGATGGAGTCTTGCTCTGTCACCAGGCTGGAGTGCAATGGGGCAATCTCGGCTCACTGCAATCTCCACCTCCCAGGTTCAAGCGATTCTCCCACCTCAGCCTCCCGAGTAGCTAGGACTACAGGCACTTGCCATCATGCTCGGCTAATTTTTATATTTTTGTAGAGATGGGGTTTCACTATGTTGGCCAGCCTGGTCTTGAACTCCTGACCTCAGGTGATCCACCTGCCTCAGCCTCCCAAAGTGCTGGGATTACAGGTGTGAGCCACTGCGCCTGGCCTGAGGAACCCTATCTTCACAGAACCTCTTGTGGGTCTAGTGTGTGCCAGCTTTGGGAAACCAAGATTTCCAAATCCTAGAGCTTAGTCCTTGAAGAGGGACTGAAACCTGCTGGGAAGAGCCGCACCACCAGGGCTGGTGCCCTGCTGCCATCCCGACTAGTGCCTCCACGGGAAGTGACGTGAGGATACATTCTTAAATGCTATTGTTACTATACTCATACCACCCTGCTGGCTGTGTGGCCAATGCAGAGCCTGCAACATTAGAATTACAGGGGAAGCCATCCACCTGCCAGGCCTGTGACTGGTCAGTAACTGGTCAAATAGAAAGAGCCCCTTAAAGCAGAGAGTCATGAAAATGATGCACACGCACGCCTTAAACCAAGCTTGTTCAACCCACGGCCTGCGGGCCGTAAATGGCCCAGGACGGCTTTGAATGAGGCCCAATGCAAACGTGTAAGCTTAAAAACATTTTGAGATTTTCTTGCGATTTTTTTCGCGCGCGCGCGTGTGTGTGTGTGGTTTTTTTTTTTTTTCAGCTTATCAGTGACTGTTAGTGTATTTTATGTGTGGCCCAAGATAATTCTTCTTTTTTCCAATGTGGCCCAGGGAAGCCCAAAGATTGAACACCACTGCCTTAACCACTTTTACCTTAAAACACACAAAAAGGACATTCACTTAATAAAAGTAGCAATATTACACTGTGTGGAAGAAATAAGATTTTCTTGTAGCATAGTCTATTTAAAAAATGATTCAAAACATCCCTGGCGGTTGACTCAGGCTTTCAACTCTGGTGTGGGAGGTCTTCAAGCTGTGTCACCTCCTCTTCTTTCTCGATATGTGACGTATTTGTGTTTGTCACACACCAGATGCTTCTTGTCTCACATGTCACAGCACTTTCCAATGTCATTATTAGTCTAGATTGGCAGACCACCTTTATAAATTGCAGATTTTGTAATTTTCCATAGCACCGCCAATCTCAGAGAAGTTTCCTCCAGGACTTAGTAAACATAACACAGGGAATTTTACTCACCACTAATGGTGCATTGTAAATAATGTGTTTGATATTGGTAACTTTCAGAGATTCTTATCTTTGCATTTTTCCAAAATGGAACTAAAAATATCCACTTGTATGAGACTCTGTCTCCATAGACATTCCAGAGGCTCCTGAATCCCAGGATGGGGCAAAGATGTTACAGTCACAATGGAAAAAAGATGGCCTTATGTTTCTCTTGTCAAGTTCTGTACACCGGGGCTGTCAGGGAGCCTGGCTGGGGAGCACGGGCACATTCCTTTCCCCCAGAGGGACCATTTCAGTCTCTTCTAATCTTAAGCACCTCCCACGTCCTTCTCACACTTTTTTTTAGAAAACTAAAATTGACTTTTTGAAGAAGTGTCTTGTAAAGTATCCCTCATTGTCATTTAGTTTGTTCCTCTAGCTCTTATACTACCCATAAACTCGAAGTTAGGTACGAATGCTTGGTTAGATCAGAGTAAACATTTTTGGGAGGTATACTGCAGAGATGACTCACACTGGGGACATGGCACATCAGGTGGTCCCACAATTAGGGATCTAAGTTTTATCATGCAGATCAGCTGGTGACCCCAGATGACTCTGGGAACATGCTTGTACTTTGCAAATAGCCAGTTCTCTGTGGCATGATCCTTGGGCATGTGTGCCAACATCCCTTCTTCAACATCCTTCCCAGTTATCTCAGCAGCTGCTGATCCCTCGCCCGAACCAACGGCTGGGATTCTGCTAGAGAACATCTTCCTGGTTGACGTTTTTCTGGCAGACTCCCTTGGAACCCAAACTTGCATTTTGTATTTATGGGGTTTTGTATGTGTGTATTTTGTATATATATACATACGATACCTGTATTTCCCTTTACTACTTTTTGGCTGATATTATAGGAAATTTACATTAATTACCCTAAACTCAGTAACGTTTTAAACAAAAGATGGGTAGAATTCTTAAGATACATTTCATATGTAATCCCAGCACTTTGGGAGGCCGAGACGGGC